ATACTGATTAAGTCAGTTATATGCCAAGAAACAAAATTATTGTATATTTATTTTCTATTGAAACACTGGACTCCCAGTATTGCTTATAAATCAGTTAAACATCGAGCTGTGAATTACTTTGGGTCACGTGATTTAATCTGTATATTAGCTGAATAAAAAAAGATTTGATTATCTTTCTTGAGTAAAGCATTTTACTGTAACTGTATGAAACCGTAACTTCTTCAGCAGACATGGCAACCCTTGACCTAAGCAACGCCACTTCCGGTAAGGCGGTTTGTTTTGATAAGTTTACAGTGAGAATTAGAAATGCTGGGGGTTGATCATTAGAAAGCGAGTTTCTGTTCTTTAACTAGTAAATAATCTGAGATCAGGCTTTTCATAACAAGTTTATTGTGCGATAATTTAATGCTCAGGGGGACAGGACATTCTCATTTCTGATGTGATTTAAATTGGATATTCAGAACTGTTTGGGTATCTACAGCAGGGGCGGATCTAGAAGGGTGGCATGGGGTGGCAAGTGCCACCCTAAAATGATCCCTTGCCACCCCAAGTGCCACCCCAGTTTTGCATATGACAGTGCTGTTTATTAAAATAAGATAGCATTAACAGTTTGAGCGTAGTTACAGTCAACAGTGAATATAAATGCTAAAATTGAAAATATTGCATAGTGTTACCCCCCCTCCACCATTAACAAATGGTTCAGCCCATAGCAGGACCGGGTGTTGTGCCAAAAAGTGATTGTCTTACAAAAACTGATTTCCAATGTTTCTGTGTATTTTTTATGTGTGATATCTTTACGTATATTCGTAAATAGACTTCGGTGAACAGGGTTTACAAAGGGGTTATATAGAGAATTAAAAAATTATCCATTTTTTAAGTATCTTTACAACTCTGTGTTATTGTACTTACATTATAACCACTTAAAATATTTTTACAGAACTATTGTAATATTTGCTGCCATTTCTGCTGTGCTCTTGGCCAACTTACTCTTACAAAAGACATTTTAATGTTAATGAGATTTTTTTAACTGCATAAATAAAGGTTATATAAAAGTCACTGCCAAAAACTGATTGCGCCTTCTACCTTGTTACACGAATGTTGTTTGTGGCTCAAGATGACTTTATGTCATCCATGAAGGATGCATTTGACATATGTTTCACATAGTATAGCCCAACAAGTTACTTATAGCAGTTTAAATACGAGCAATCAGTTTTTGGCAAATACCGAAAATCAGTTTTTGGCACAACACCGGCTTTTTTCTTGTTTTCAGTAGCAAGCGATGCTTATGATTGTGCCAGAGCACATTCTGAACCACACCATGGGAATTTCGCTTTTTACACAGGTGGGTGGATGTTACACTCTGGAAATGGAAGGAAGGTGAGTGTTATTAACCCTCTGTGGTCCACGGACACGCTGCACCTCCAAATCACATGACTGATGTAAGCTGACATTGCAACAAGCTGCAGCCACGCTGAGTTTCTATTTCAGCCCACATTGAAAATTCGGACTTCAAAGTTTTTAAATTTTAACTACAGGCCAGTAAATCCAGAGTTATGATAATATATATAAGCCATGCTTTGTTCTAAATACTGTCATCACGTTTGTGTGTGTTTTAAGCGTTTTGTAAGGACAGCCAACCGTCCAGTAAAATACAGAATCGTGCCACATTCAGAGAAAATATACTTAAACTAGAATGGAAAAAGACACAAAGCTGGGGTTTTTCTGCGTCTTTATGCTGCACAGCTGCCTCTTCTCTCATTCTCTCCCCCTCCCTCTCCTGTTACTACTTCAATCATGAAACTGATCAATGATCAGCTGATCGGCTTTTCTCTCGTTTATTTATCGCCCACTTTGCACCAGAAGGAGGAAACCAGCGGATGTTGCGCTAAACAACAGCAGCACGTTTAAGCTTGATCAGCTGTTGTTAGAATTTATTTAATATTCATTTCTAGTATCAGCTGATGTTTGCTGGAGCCACAGCTGTAAAAGCTGCTGGTCATGATATCAGTTTGTATATGTGGTGAGAAAGAAACATGAGGATGAAACCAGGAGATGTCCTTACTGAATCATCGGAGCTGAACAGGTGATGGAGAAACAGGTTTACCTTTTAGGTGACATGAATGAGTTGAAGGGAAGTTATGAACTGTTTCTGAGAGACAAATAACCCCAGGATCCTTTTTTATGTAGCCGACAGCTGGTAACTGTGCAGGGGCGGGTCTAGCAAAGTGTTGCCAGGGGGCCAGTTAGGGTGTTAACAGGGAAAGGGGGGCACAAAGAAATACTTTTCTTTCTTATTCTCATTTAAAATGTCTAGCTTTTAAAAAGTAATTATCTGAATCTTACAACAAACGATTGATAGATTGATACATATATACCATCAGAACAGTGTACATCACTGTCACAACAGCGTTTGTTTTCATTCAAAGGCTTTATGGCTTTAATACCTGGTGGGTCTGTCTCGTCAAAATGCTCAGGCCGATTTTTTTGTCCCAGTCCAACTCTGGGCACGACACGCAGTGAAATAATCTGAGAAGGTGCATTAAAAAATAAATGGTCGGGCCAGCGGTGCACATCGCAAATTAGCTCGCATAGAAACAGTTGTGCTGCTTCTTAATGACGGTATCTTAGCTAACAACCCCAACTATCAGATTCAGGTTGTAATTGGCTAAAAATAAGTTTAACTGTCTTCAGAACATTGCAGAGGCCTTATTGACAGTATTTGGCTCTACATATATGTGTGTGCAGATTTTCTCTCACACGAGTCCTCAGGTAGCCGTCTGAACGCTGGACACTCGGGGACCTGTGTCTCTGAGTGGGAGACCAGATATCACATTAACATGTGTATCTCTGTATTAACAAACATGCCATATTGGCCCAGTTTTTTCTTATCATTGTTGTGAGGAGACCATAAATAGCATTTGCATTTTCTGTTGTACAGTTCATTTGCTGTTATGGATAAAAAGTCTTTTTTTGTTTCAAAATAGTTGATAACTATTCGCTGATAGCTGCCAACATCTGCGCACAAATATAATTGTATAAAGTTGTTCTATATAGTGTGTAACTATTGATATAGAGCATAAGTAAATTTATTGCTAATGCAATCATATGGCACACTGACTTCTGAGGAAATTTTAGATGGCACTCATCAGAAAGGTTGCCTACCCCTGCTCTTTCTTTTGAGCTTGGGTTGAGCTAAGGCATTTAATAAATGTTAAACATCACCAATATATTTCTAGGCTCTCTGAAATGTGATTATGCACTGGCAAAATTCAAAATAGAAGAAGACAGAGCCGAGTTCAAAGTCCATGGCTTTATTAGAAAAATAGGTTTACGTCACCTCGCTGTACAGTATAAAACAATTCATCTGCAAACTGCAAACACACTCGTTAGCAAAAACAAACAAAAACACATTGTTGACCCATAAAATCAAGTCTGGTCTAACATGGACACAAACACTAATGTGGCTCTATTTTTCCCCATAGAGGAGGTGGCGGCGTCGGCAGCAGCAGCACGGCCCTCAGAGATGGGACAAAGCTCAACATGAAACCAAGCCTCTGGGCTCATGTCAAAGGTCAAAGGTAACAACACAAGGCAGAGACACAAAAATGCACTGAAAGGAGCTTAAAGGAGAAATCCAACCTCACATTGTCCTTCCAAAGGCTACAATGCATTGACTCTGGAGCCGCCGATCTCCCAGAATTCCTCTACTTTAAAGGGACGTGTAACAGATCATTCTTTTCTTTCTACTAATCGATCAGAGTGATTGATCTCTCTGCGAGGTAGAACAAAGATGAAAGCGTCATGGTGGGGGTAACACCACCAAAACCTAGCGAAACCATTTACCTCCAAACAAGTTTCTAAACAAAATAATTTAATTATTCATTCATTATATTGTCATTATTAAAAGTTCTGAAATTATTCAAAATGGTCAAACTGGCGTTTATCGATGTCATAGCGGCATACCTTTCAACTTTCATGCTCAGAGATCATTTCTCTCACGAGAGCAGATGCAACATAATTAAAATTTCAGCTCTAAAGGACGAGTACGTGTTTAGAGACAAGTGTTTTTAAAAAACACTGACTTATGGGGGTGTTTCTACAAAAGATGAAGGGGGGGGGGGAGGCATCACCCCTTTTACTAAATATTTTCCAAATATAGTATTTTAACAAACATCAAGCGGAAAACGAGTTACGAGTATTCCTGCAGAACACATTTTAAAATGTTTTTAAACGATGGCCGACCCTGTAAGTAGCCTTGTTCGAGTGGCTTGACGACAAAACTGCAGTGGCCTTTTACGGCTGTTCGATATAACGATATATATCATAAGATGATATAAAAACGTCTATTGTTTCCTATTACGCTATCGTTTGTTTCGTAGTGTCCTAAAATAAAGTGTTCACAGCAATATTTTTTTCATCGTTTTGATGGTCACTGTAGTGGCTATATTAATTTCTTAAAGTTCTCTCTTTCTCATATTTAATACAACCACACTACTGACGGACAAGCGTCTGTTTTTACGTGTTGTCGTTAGCAACAACGACGGTAACACCATCGCGTGGCTCCGCTGTCCGCTTGTTTGTTTTCCACGTAAACCTTTCACAATAAAGCTCAAGATCCTGTTGAGACTTTTCAAAATAAACTGAATCATGTCAAAGAGTATGCAGAGAGTTTACGGATGAGAAGAAAAAAAAAAAAAAAAAAAAGCCGTCAGGTGCTAAAAATAAACCTTAGACTCAAACTTCGAAAGAAAATGGTGGCCGTTACAACTTATGTCTAAAAATGTATAGTTTCATGCATCGGTTAAAACACTCGAATCAGGGTAAAGGACGCCTAGCTGGAAAAACTTCATGCAAGTCGAGTTGGACGAGTCAGAATTTACAGAAAATATGACATTTTTGTGATTTATATCGTTGTCAGGACGATAAATGTCTTCTATCGGGATATGAGATTTGTCATATCGCACAGCCTTATCTGTCAGGGTTAAAAAAAATAAATAAACAAAGAAAAAGCTTTTATCTGACACTGAGCATAAAAACTTGTTTTAAATTTTGTCCTCTGAAGAAATAAATTTTCTCCTTTTGATTCAAATAAAACCACAGATCAAGGTCTGCATTTCCCTTCAACGTTTAACGCTGAAAGAACAGACAGATGTTAAAATGTTTTACTCTCATTCTAACATGTCTGACTATATTTTTACTCTTTTTAACCAGTTTTAAATCGCAGGAGTATAAAACTAAGTGTTAAAACTACTTTCAGGCTCTTTGGTTGGTCATCTTCTCAATCAAAACAAGCCTTAAACTCCCACCCTTCCAAATACTGAGCAGCCAGCAGTAAATTTCTCCTTTACACTCGCACCAGTGAGAAGTCATGAGTCAACACCACAGGTAAATTTCTCATAAGCACATACATACATGGCATGATAGTCTACAGAGGCATACATACAATGCAAAACATGTAACCCATTTTCTTCCAGACCCTCTTAGACATGGCAGGATGTCACATGACATCCTAAATCTGTAGTTAAGACAGCTGTTGGGTCAGGCTGTGGAAGACATGAAGAAGAGGAGGGCTGTGGTTTTCAAGCCTTACAAATAAAAGACAAAACAATCTGTCCGTTAACTTCATTGTCACTCAGTTCATGTACAAAGACAGCAAAAAAGGCATGTTCAGGCTCGCTCCCACAGGACCGGCCGGTGCCAGGTCTCAGCGAGAGCCTCAATTAAATCAAGTGCTCTGCTGCAAGGCCGGAGAGGCTCGAGCCCTGTCTCAGTTTCCTTAAGTAGATGATCTGAGGCGTTTCCGTGAAACCGAGGTAGCTCGTGATCCAGTTTTCCTGCGAGACCCAGGCGTCGGCACCTCACATGTCTCAGTCCAAAAACTCAGAAACAACAAGTCCCACTGCATCACTCCAAGCCTCAATTTAAAAAAGTGCAAAGCCTTTTCCAGAAGGATGTCCACCGTGACCTCAGTACATCTCACATGGCTGCCTTAGGGTTGGAGGAGGTGGGGTTTACTCTTCTGATCATCTTCAAACATGGCAGTTCGAAGATGATCAAAAACAAAATGAAAAAAAAAAAACCTTCCTTTACATTGAAAATCAAAAAAATCAAAAAATAAATAAAATAAAAGGCTGGACAACCATTGGACCATTGAGTCAGCTGACCTTACCATTTCATCCACCGAAGCCCGCAGCGTGCGTCGCCGTCAGTCCTCATAGCAACACATCAGGACCAGCCTCGCCCCCTTTTTCCTGCTAGTCAGGTAACAAAAGGAAGCAATTAGAGAACTGAAAACAGGATCGCATCACATCTACACACATTTACAGTTTCTGGAGCTCACACGCACAAGCTCAGACGTTAACATGCACATGGCAATGCCTTAAAGAGAAGACGGCGAGCAGAGTCAGCCGGGCCGGTTATTAAACGTAAAACCGAGGTGCAGTAGGTGAGACGCGGCTCAAGACAGACAGAGGGAGGGAGGAAGGGGAGCAAGGTAAGGGGGTAGGTGAGAGGGGGGGGGGGGGTAAGAGCAGCCATCATTATCAGTAAAAGCAAAAGGGGAGTAAAATAAAAACAAAACACCTAGAAGCAGGTCATGCACAAGAGCACAATTATCAGACCTCCAGAGTAAAACATGCAAGATTAGTATCCAGGCCTTCAACAGCTAAGTAGATCCTTCTGGGACAAGGAAAAGCTTCACTTTGAAACAAATCAAATTGTGCTTTTATGCCCCCCCTCCCAAAAAAACCCTCAACCAAAGCTGATAACAAGAACTAAGAGACTTGTAGGGGGCGGGGCTTAACCCTGACGCTGCTGAGAGTGAATTTCGGACACCAATTTGTGAAACAATGTTCTTTGGACATGAGAGAAACTCATAAGGATGGAGTATGTCACTACACATACAGAGCACTTGAGAGATGCCGACTATCAGAAGGTGATTTGAATTTGATGGCATGCAAGGTGACACTGTAGCACGTGGCCAAACATTTGGCAAACCTTTGGTCCATTTTCTTCCACAAGGAGCCTTAAATTTGAAGGTAATTTGAAGAGAGAATTTGCCGAAACATGAATTTGCAACACAATTTGAAGTTTTGTACACGAGTGCGTGTATGTTTATTAAAGCAGACAAACAGCAAAGAATACAAGCCAAAATGTAAAGCCAAAAAAAGAAAAACCATAGGACTACGATGGTCCTTTTTTTCTTCTTTTCAATAACAAGACACGCATTACTTTTTGACAATACAAATCGTATTCATTGGATTTAAATACATGTTTAGGAGACATATGCTTTGTTGCCGTTAGCTACTTAGAACATGGTAACCAGAATTTCTAAAAACAGACATAAAGCTATAGCCAAATAGACAGCTCGAGCACATTTGCATCTAAAAATTTTTTTCAAACTCCGTTATGGAAAATCTTTTAAACGCCCATTGTATTTTTTCTCTTTTCGTCATTTTAAAAAAATAAAAAATAAAAACCCCAAAAGGAAGAGAGAAAACCAGTTCGCCAGAAACAGGTGGGAGTGTGACTAAGACGAGTCCAAGCGGATTATTAAAATATGTACAAAAAGGAGATCTTGCCAGATGTCACCAATTTTGAGGAAAACAAAAAGAAAAAAAATGCAGGCAACCGTATGGGATTGAGGGCCAATCAGATCAAGTCTCTAAATAAAAAGACAAAAACAAACACGGGTTTTGTTATCAAAGCACTACGGGGTTTACTTCCACTGCTGCCCAAAAGAATCCTGATAAAATTCCTGGTTGTCAGATTTGTAACCGGAATAGTTACCAGAATGATCACCACCTTGGAGCGGTTGCTGAGCAATGGGTTGAGAGCCCCAGTTCTGATTATTGGTCTGGCGACGCTTGGAATCTGGCTGGTTGTACCCATCAGCTTTGCGCTTTCCTCCTACATTTCCACCGCGGCCACCCCGTGCACCACGTACCCCTCCTCGCCCTCTCAGCTGCACGCCTCCTCTTGCGCCGCGCCCGCCACGACCTGGTCCTGGCCCGCCGCGCTGCGAGAAGTTTGCCCTCCCTCTGGGTGCCCCCGAGCCGCCACGTCCTCTGGCCGGGGAGGATCCGCCCCGTGCGCCCCTGCTGCCGCCCCGCCCCCGGCTTGGGGCCTGGAAGTCATCGTACCCATAGTAGGGGTCATCGTAGCCACCGCGGTAGTTGTGATAGTCATAGCCGTAGTAATCGTAGTAGTCCTCGTAACCGTAGTAGTCAGGAGGGTAGGCGTAGCCGCCTCTGTTCCCTCCTCGACCCCGATTTCTGCTGGGAGGGGGCATGTGGGGAGGGGGAGGGTAGTAGTAATAGTCATCGTACCTGATGAGAGTAAGACGGCACGGGTTAGAAAGACAGGTCTGACAAAAACAAAGGTTTGATTGCTCAGAATGCTTCGAGAAGACATTTCTTACATTTGCGTTTTAGCCGCTTGCCTCTGGGCTTTGCGCTCCTTCCTTTTCTGATCGGGCGGCTTGGCGAACACTATCTCGATTGGCTCTCCCTCCAACTCCTTCCCGTTCATTTCCTCCAGTGCCTGGACACAGAATACAAGACTTAACGTCTCTGCACCTCGTTTCTAATCCAGCGCCAACCATCAGGGTAACACATACCTTCACCGCACCGTCCCGCTCCTCAAAGTGAATGAAGGCGTAGTCTTTGAGCTTCTTCACTCGCTCCAGCTTTCCAAACTCACTGAAGGACGTCTCCAGGAGTTCCTCCGTGACGCCATTAGCGAGATTTCTCACAAATAAAACCTTCACCTGCAACAAAGTAAAGCTCAGATTTAATCAGCTCATCTCCTCCTGCGCATTTATCAGCAGGCAGTAAAATCACATATTTTGGAAAATTTGATTGATTTAAAGAAGACAAAGGGTCACAATATGAACAAATAGATTTATGTTCAACAACACGAATGTAGTTAAATGTTAATATTTTATTATTATTTATATAACCTGCCTTAAAATTATACAGAGAAATGGCAAAGATTTGTGATTTCAGTGGCATTGCTTGTTTAACGGCACTTTCTGCATCACTGAATTAAGAGGGGAAAAAAGGGCAAGATTCAGTTTTTATGAACCCACCGTCACATTTAAAATACAACAGTTCATTATAATGCTGATGTGTGTCATCTAGCTTGTTATCTCGTGTTTAAAAACAAAAAACAAAGACAGCACAAAGGGCATAAGCACTGATGTTTTGCTGCCAGTGCAGGGCCTCCTACTGGAATCAGCAACACAGACATGGTTTGCTTTGGAGAGTCAGCTACAAATGCAAGAATTTGACATCCGATCATCAAAAGGAAAAAAAGATTGAGATCTGATCTTAACATTTTCCTTCTTCATTAACAGCTTTAACTCTGGCTCTGCTGTCGTTTCAATAGAAACGAGTTCAGCATTAAAAAAAAGGGGGGGGGGGGATTAAGTTCATGGGTGGTTGGCTTAAAGCAGGGCTGTCAAACTCAAATACACAGTGGGCCAAAATTCAAATCTGGAACAAAGTCGTGGGCTAACATTAATATTTATTGAAATATATTTATTGCTCCAGATATAAGAATGAATCTTTTCTTATGGACTCAAACAAGTTTTGCTGAAAAACTGAATATGGAACAAGCAAAGCTTAATACTAAACTATATTTATGTTAGCTGTATAATACCAGTAGGCCAGCTCTAATAGTCATTTGGTATGGCTTCGCGGGCCAAATGTAATTAGGCTGCGGGCCAAATTTGGCCCGCGGGCCAGAGTTTGACACCTATGGCTTAAAGATTGAAGAACACTTCAGATTCCCAATGCTCACCTTGGCCATGACTTCTGGGTCGGGGTCTTCGATGGGGTCTGCCCACTCCACGGTCACGAGGTTGCCCCAAACTTTCACCTTGCCGCTCATTAGCCGGCGACGGGCCTGAGCGGCCGTTTTGTGGTCTTCATACTCTAAGAAGCAGAAGCCTCGGTTCTTCTTTTTGTCGTCGGGCTGATGGTAGAGTATGACATCACTCAGGCCCTCTGGGTGAAGAAAGAAAACAAAAACATTGCCTGTGGTTCAATATTAAGAGTCTGGGTGTTTCTGAGCAGAATAACGAGGACAGCAGGGCATTCTTAGAAAAACAAAACTGTCAGAAAGCATTACCTGTGACTTTGGAAAACTCTTCAACAATCTGCTCCTTTGTTTTACTCTTGGGAATTGAACCAACAAATAGCCGGTTGTTGGCAACAGATATGCACACCCCGATGTGCTTGCCAGGGCGAATCTCATGATTATTGCACTGCAAAAAATAAAGCCGATGAACTCTCATTAGACTCAAAACCTTTCCAGCACACAGGTTTTTGAGGTAACCTATTCTCATAAAGCAGAACAACACGCCTCATTCACGCATTCATGCAGCACTTTTCTCTATGGTTTTCATGCGAAAGTGCTTTATATCTAATATTCACAGATTCCTGAGCAACCTGGGGTTAGCATCTTGCCCAAGAATATTTGGCATGCAGACTGGAGCAGGGATCGAACCACCAGCAAAACCCATTCCAATCAGAATATAACCCCCTTCACCTCCTGAGCTACAGCTTCCTCCATTACAAAGTGACAGGTCTCCTGAACGCCGTCACTTTCTAGAAAAGCGACATGCTCAGCCGCGTGCTCCTGACAAACTCACCAGCTTTACGGCCTCCTGGGCACCCTCCTTACTGCAGAACGTGATGAAGGCATAGCCCCTGTTCAGGCTACTCAGCGGATCCATCATTAGCCGAAGGTCCCAGATCGGACCGGCCTTCTCAAACAGAGGAACCAGCTCGTCTTCGTACAGATCACGGGGAATCTTCCCAACAAAGATCTACAAGAGGACAAAAAAGAAAGAAGGATATTCTAAATATAAACACCCACAAGCAACTGGTTTTATTGAATATTTATTAGTTAACCAGCTGAAAATGGTTTCATTTCAAAAGTGCAGTTTATGTTAATTAGGAGTTACTCTTAAAGTTGCTTCAGTGAAGCGGACTGAAAACACTTCATGTCTGTACAGCTTTTTCCTATAAACGCTGCCCATCAGGAAAATCACATTTTACGCCTTTTTAAACACGTGCATGTTAAAAAGCTCAGTAAAGTTATATTGATATAAAATATGCACAGAAATATTTGCAGTCTTATGCATCCTTGCATTTTGACATTGGTAAACACTGAGACAGTGTCAGGTTAGCTTGTGCTGCACACTTTAAGAAGTTTAAAACTGGCTACGCTCAGTCTTGTGATAATGCCGAAACAAATATTACTGCACCATAACTCTTGAAAAGCGAAGAAAAACCTCGTGTGAGATACTGATATTGAGGAGGAGAACATGTGAGGAGGTAAAGGTGACCACACTGTGTGGAGAACCCCACGTAAAAACAACTGAAGGGAAAAACTAGGCAGGAATAACTGAGCTGGACCGTCAGGGGCCTTCTGCACAAACGCCTCATCTGTTAAGATGAGTTAACCGGTGCTAGTATCGGACCACAGGAACTACAGAGAATGCTGAAACTGTTCATGCTATAGAAGAACTGACAGCCCAAACTTTACTAATCTCCACTTAATCCAGCAAAGAAATGCTCCTTGTTCTGCACCGTTAGGCGACTGTATGACAGGATAAACTGAGCAGTGCATTCGTTCCCCCCGTCCACGTGAGGCCAATGACACGCAAACAATTCACATCAACATCTACAGATCCAAAGCCCACATCACATTGCGAGACCTGTCACAGCGAAGTCAGCATATCTGAATACACCAAATATATACCCCAGTGCAGCTAAAACTCAAAGTACATCTCGTTAGGTCCTCAGAGTTTAATTTATACATCTTTTTTTCTCAGCAGTAAGAAACTGAAGCCTCGCATAATTTTCACCTCGTTAAAAGAAACTCTTCTTCTTCTGCTTCATGTTCTTCCCAACACTTTTTATAAATCAAACTCAGTGTTGATGTATCAGTTTTAAAACCTCTGTGAATAAAATTTCAGACCAAATATTGTCAAAATGATTGGTGGTGGTTTATAAAATCTTAAATATAAGTAAGTTTACTTTAGCTACGTTTATGCCTGTTCAGCAGAGCAGTGATTCCTGCTTCACAGAAGCTGATGAAGTGAATCTTGACGCCACTCTGATCATGGGTTTAACCATTTAAAGCACCTCTGTCTGTGCCTGCCTTTTGTTTACAGCTTCCTAATTTCAAAACAACCAAATTCTCCAATGACATGATGTGAAAATGTAACATCTCAGGAAATAATACAAGACCCTATTTTCTATGAATTGACGAGGAGTACCTCTGTGCCGACAGGGGGCTGAGAACCCGAGTACACGGACTCTGGCGGGGGTCCGCCGTATTTCCTCTGGCCGGTTGTAACATCGAGTGTGTAGCTGGTTCTCTCGAGGAGTTCTTTGATTTTAGCCTCATCTGGTCCTTTGATGGAGTCTGAAACTTTAGTCCCTTGTTTCTCTCTCTGTCTGTAAGTCTTCATCACCCCACAGAGAAAGGCACTTTTATTCTGGGGAATAAGAAACAGCAGAAAATTAGAAACCTGGACATTTAGCTGCCGTTAGGGGGTAAAAAATAAACAGCCGAGCGTTCCCTTCATGTCTCGCATGATTTAAAACTCACCTGCACGTGTGACAGGTCACTCTCTTTGAACTGCACCAACACCTGCAGGGCTCCATCTTCGTTGAATTCTTTCAAAGCCTCAATAGCTCTTTCATCGAGGTCACCGTGTGCTACCAGGCCTGACGGACACAAAACACACCTCAAAATAACTGGCAAACGCACATGACCCCACCAGAAACACCCCCATACACCTTTAGAAACCCGATCAACTTCATCAATACTCAGCACAGGTGAGAAGGTTCACAGAGGCAGTGGGACTCGTGCAGTTGTGCAACAGAGGATTGAGGATGGATCATCAATGTGATACAAAAGAAAGCAAAGTAAAACAGCTGAAGGTATGAAGCAGTTTCATTATTATGGACATAAAAGTTTTCCTGTCATACTGCCAGGTTTCAGGAGGCTGAAGAAGCCCTGAGGTCTCCTTTCAGTGTTTGTCACCATCTGCTGGAGGTTCAGACAGTCCTGTTGACCTGCTGTGGACACACAGCTGCTCTTTTGTTCCTGCCAGCTGGCCTCCATCTACCTTCACCCAGGCCTTTGTAGTAACAGGAGTTATTTCATTTGATCTGATTTCTATACTTCAGTGTGACAATGATCAATCTGATGCTCCCTCAGCCATCTGTCAGCAGCTGATACGACTGGTTTGACTACTTTGAATCAGCTCCCTGTTCACTGTTGTTCATTTAGGGTGTTGCTTAATTCACTGTCATCGTTTTATTTTATTACTGGTTAACAAAATAACCAGTAAAGACACGAAAAAGAGTTAATATTGCTCTGAATTACAAATTTCATTAACTTGTGCTGACATTCCTTCAGGAGCAGGAAGGTTTTAGTGGTAATTAAACACTAATAAACATACCTGAACAACAAAGGAGAAAGTGGCAGAGGATTTCAAAGAGTTCATGACAAATATTTTAACTCAGTCAAACTCAACTTTGGTTCATGGGCTACCCCATGTCATCTCAAGCAGGCTAGACCAGCACACCACTCCTGTGTTTGTAATGTTTGCATCACCTCTCCAGGTACTGTACTACATTTCATTCACAAATTTCAGATACTACTGACTTTCACACTGTGTGCTGGAGGGTGGATTTATCTGTGCACACACTGTGAGCTGAAAACGGAGGCAGGGCGTTCTCTTACCTGCTACATAAAGTTCATCCAGCTTCTCAGCGACATTCTGAGGTAAACCTGCCTCCAGTAAAGCCTGGAAGTGTTCCGAGTGGGTCACCTCGGCTGTAGTGTCCATCGGCTCCTCCGTCCCGTTCCCGTTAACGTGATCTGTGGCCATGTCTTCAGACATCTGCGCAGAGAAGTGAGCAAACATTTACCACCAGCAGCAACGCACTCGCCGGACTAAAGTGGGACAACAACATCAAGCGTGCAGTTTGGCGCCATCGTCCACTTGGTTTACAGGCAAGTCCTGCAGACGCTGCGAAACTAACACCACGTGTTAGACGCCAGCGGAAAAACAAACTTGCCCAAACAGCACACAAACAAGCAGCTAAGCAGTGAGCAGAAAAGGCGGCATCCATGTAGTCACCACGCGTCTGTGAGCTAACATCTGTGGCTCGTACAGATCACGGGCCTCACCGAGCGCGGTACGCATGGAAGTGCAAAATGCACGAGATTAGCATTAGTTAAACAAGGTCCAAAGGTCAAGCACGTGCAATTTGTGGTGATTCCGTGTGTTTGGCCCATTACTCATAACGTAGAGCACATTTATTTTCCCATTAGTATATGCAAACAGGCCCGTTTTTTTTCCAAAATGCCGGCTAGCCATGAAAACGAGCTGCTATGCTAACAGCACCCGGTCGTGCAATGCATCGAACATTAGAGTGCAGAAAGCTGCAGGTTAATAGCCGAATTTAACATCCCCTCTCGTTGCCTCGAGAGCGTACGTACCATGCGAATCTGAATTTGGGTGCACGATGCAGCTCCGCCGTAATTTAGGTAGTCCGAATGAGGGAAATTTTTCACGCCGGGGCTCTCAGGCTGGCTTCTTTACTCCCGGTGAAACAAAATGGCGGCTACGTAACGTCGCAAACTCCGCTTCTCCACCCCACCCCCTGCGTGTACGGGGCTTCTGAAACTGCTTTTCATGGGCTACTTTGGGGCTTCGAACGGTGGCGTTGAACCAGTGATTCTTTATTTTATTTTATTTTATTTTATTTTATTTTATTTTATTTTATTTTATTTTATTTTATTTTATTTTACAACAAAGAGATGTCTGTATTTTAGTTTAAATATACTGCTTGTTTAAATGTATATTCTATACAATGTACGTGTAAATGTAACACTGCTTTTAGAGTAAATTAATTAATTTCAGATGATTATTTTTTCTCTTGCAATTTTATTATGAAGATGTTTAAGCACATAGACACCAGGTGCTTCCGGATTATTTCGAAGTAAAGTCTTATTTACTTTGATCATTCAACTGGAGAACCTGTAAATTAAAATCATGGCGTTCGTCCATTTCAAATTTTCAATAGTAAAACTTATCATTGTTTTCTCAGTAAAATAAACTGAATCTCACAGAAAGGGCAATATAGACGGCACTTTGTGTGATGTTTTTTAGTTTTTAATACCTTTTGTTTAATTTTTTTTTACGCCTGTGTTATGGGCGTGGATTTCCTACGCCCTCTGAAACGCTATTGGTTTAGCGCGAAATTTGAAATGTAAGGGGAACGTTAGCGGCTCGGAGGACAACAACAAGTCTAAATATGCGAATTTTTTAGATAGCAAACAATCAAACCAGAGGAATTAAGTGCTACAAAAAAGTTTACTATCGGTTTTCTTGGGAGAACTCTTTTTTAAACTTAAAGCGAAATGGATATCGCCTCGTATTTACAGTAAGTCACGGTGGAACATGGACGTTAGCCGCTGTTAGCTCAATTGAAGGGGTTAGCTTCAGTGCTACATGAATGTATGGATCTTTTATAACTAATTCATAAACAACGTAGCTGTCAGACATGTTTTAATTACTCATACTTCTACCCTTCAGGCGTTTTGAAAACAGTTTGACCTCATACACAGGTGACGACCCACTGGACGCCTGGATCAAGTGAGAATTTCGAGTGTTTTCATTGATGTGTAATGTTTTATAGTAATTTAGGAAAAGTTATTAGTCCTGCAGCCATTGAAATCATATTGAAACCTGTAAGAGTGTAAGAGACAGCCTTAACACAGGAGGTACATAACAAATGATCGTCGGCTTATTTCATTTTTGAGTGTTGACGTCGGAAGTAGACCTGGATTTACTTTTCAAAGTCACACTTCCTGTTCTTTACCGTCTATTTCCAGCTTTAGGTTATTTAATAACACTTTTGGATATTAAGGCTGAATATATGTATCACAAATGTTTGCTTGTCTCAGAGCACACAAAACAGCAAACCAACCAGCCTCAAAGATAAATAACTGCGTAATATCTTAATAAAATACAATAATAGTCTGTCTTAAAAATATTGTGAATCATTTTTTGATGATTTAATACAAAAAGATGCACACAAAATGAGAAGTACTGAAGGCAAGTTTCTCTGGGTGCTTCTTTAGGTTTGTGGAGTACCTGGAGCAGAGGCTACCTGCAGATGGTGGCAGAGGGATGTTGCTGGTGTTTGAGCGTCTCATCCAGAGATTTTTGAATGTCGAGCAATACGCGAATGACATCAGATATGTGAACTACTGCATCAAATGTGTAAGTCTGATTAAAACATTGTATTTTTACAGTTGTCTCCATAGTTTGTATCTTTTTAAGTTGGATAAAGTCTTACTCGAGCTCTTTTCTTGCCTCACTGTGTCTTACAGGCAAGTTATTACGTGGACCCTGTTTCCCTGTACAGTCAGGTCTTCAGTAGGGGCGTCGGCACCAGGACAGCTGCCCTGTATGTGGCCTGGGCTCAGCACTTTGAACAGAGAGGACTGCATGAACAGGCTGATGCAGTATACCAGAAAGCGCTGGAGAACCAAGCTCATCCAGCCAGCACTGTTCTCCATGAATACAAGTAAGCATTTGAAGAGTGAGACGAAGTTTCTCATGGTAACCTCAGACGGTTAAATACAAAGCTGTCTGTGCCAGTGTCGGTGGGAGTCTGGCCTATGTAGATACCTTTCAGAGTGTTTTGTAGAGAAAGTATGCCAGTTGAAATGTGTGGAAGTGGTTTAACCTCTGTGTTGTGGTGTAGCTGTTGTTAAACCAACCTCCAGCCTGTTATTGTATTAAAACGACACACACATATGTGGTCTCACTAGTGGGCAGCTATCATCATGGTGGCCGGTGGTTTGTTTTCAGTGTAACTACTAAAAAAGTTGAGGAACCTGCAGACATCAGATACTGTAGTATTTGTTTGAGTTTACAGTGCTCTTGAAAGCGCTGAATTCTAGAACGCTGAACATCTGCCATCAGCTCTGCAGGACATGAGATTTGCCGATGTTCATCTGTCAGGCATCACCACTGGTGTGGTCTTGGTATTTGGATATAGTTTCTTCAGTTTGTATGACTAAGATCAGAATTACACTTGTACGCAGACATAGGCAGCTGTCAAACACAAGTTTGGTCCCAAGTCCCAAGTTTGAGACCCCTGGTCTAAAAGAAGCATGAAAGCAGCTTGAAAGTCCTGGCAGTAATAAAGTGTGAACATCCGCTCTGAGCCTCGTGTTCACTCTCTGATGACGTCATTTACATCACTCTGGTCTGAGCAAGACGTTCCGGGGCCCTAATTTCTCAGTGGTGCAACTAAAAAAAATTCTTGTGTCACACACGGTGCGACTAGCCGGTTGAAAAGTTTGGGTGTACCTAACTTTTGTGCTGGTGCACCTAAGAAAAAAAAGTTAGGCACACCAGTGCAACCACGGCAAAAAGTTAGTCTAGAGCAGGGGTGGGCAACTCCAGGCCTCGAGGTCCAGTGTCCTCCAGGTTTTAGATCTCACCTTGGGTCAACACACCTGAATCACATGATTAGTTCGTTACCAGGCCTCTGGAGAACTTAAAGACATGTTGAGGACCTAATTTAGCCATTTAAATCAGCTGTGTTGGTTCAAGGACACATCTAAAACCTGCAGGGACACTGACTCTCGAGGCCTGGAGTTGCCCACCCCTGGTCTAGAGCCCTGCATGAGGTGACCGTGCCAGCAGTGGCCCACAGCTCATTTAAGTTTGAGACTCCTGGTCTAAAGGAAGCGTGATGGAAAGCCCCAGCAGTAATAAAGTGTGAGCATCTGCTCTGAGCCTCGCGTTCACCCTCTGATGATGGCATTTACGTCACTCTCGTCTGGGCAGGACGTTCACATAATCTGGGGTATGGAAACTCTAATATTGCTGTAATCTTTTAGGGATGGTGCAATTAAGAAGTGAAAGAATTTAAAGTCTGTGTTAACAACTGAAGCCTGGATATTAATCTGGCCTTCTAATGTGAATGATATCTGGCTGTGTGTAGTCACTCTACACATGCAGTGACAGCGGTATGTTACTGTGCTGCATGTTATATACTGTGGGCTAACAGAAACTCTGATCTGCAGGCAGTTTCAGACCAGAACCAGAAGTGAGACGGCAGTGTCCGGTAAAATGGTTTATTTAAAAGTTCCTTTATTATATAATGTTGGATTTCTTTCTTTAGAAATGTTTATTGTTGCTCTACTGTCTGACTATTTTTATATGTCTATTTTATGAAGGAGGAAGTCGAAACCCTTTGCAGAACTCCAATTTAACCAATCAGGTGCCCCACAGAGAGCCTGTCACTCAGAACAAGGTGTGTTTATCTCTGGTTTTTCATCCTAATTGTGCATGAATGCCATTTTCTGCTTTTCCATTCACACTGTGCGTCCTCTGTCACAGATGTCTGTGGACTGTCCCTCCAAACCACCTGCGAGTAAATTCATCGACATGTGAGTGAAACACTGAACTCAGTTTTTGGGGTTCCTGTTTCTGATGTCAGCAGAGTGCGCTCGTACCAACACAACATGTTACAGCCATGAGATGAAAAAGGAAGAGGCTCAAAGACAGAAATAGGGGGGAAAAAGAGTTTAAGTCACCCTTTAACTGTGTTTCTGGAAGCAAATTAGATTTACATTAACCACAGGAACAGTAAATAAAAGTGTCTTAGGAGGGTTTGTTTGTTTTATTTGGAATTTTTTGGAAAAAGATCGTCTGTTTTTTTTAAAATCTGTCTTCCTTTATCTCATCAAAGGTGGAATAAGCATCTTAGAAAGTCATAATGTGGCAAATGTCAGCTGTTGATCCTAGAGTAGCTTTGCCTGATGATGGCTTTGGGCTCACAGGGATTGATTCATGTGGAATTTCTTCCAGTTAATGTAAAAATTCGTGTACTGGGATGGGCTTTCTGTGACAGAGAATAGAAGCAGAAGAGCTTCACTTTACATTCATCTACACTCGCACAGTTTCGAGGATCTTAACAGCATGATGTCACCTGATTTCTTCTGTCGCTCACAGAGTCTCTCGCTCTGAGACTTCCAGGACAATTCCCACCAGTCAGGGCTCTGGCATTCAGACCGTGTCCGAGTACACGGTAGAAGACCTCGTCTGCGACGAATCTGAGCTATGCTTCGAAGAGGCCCGAGCTCAGAATTACTTCCGCAAGCTCCGTGAGCAGGAGGAGAAAGACAAGACAGACTTCAGTGAGTTTTTAATTCTGCAGCTAAAATAAATCCGTGCTGCGAACACTTGTCTGGATTTCTAGTAAATGTCCTTTTTATTGCTTTCATGTCAGCGATGACACCGAGCGAGTTAGAGGAGAGGAATAAATGGTTGCTGGAGAAAGTTTTCTGCGATCTTGAAATCAGACAGACTTCATCTCAAAAGGTAAGACAAAAGCATCCTGATGCAATAGGCTGTGCTGAATGTGCATCAGAGGCCTAAGCTTCAGGCTCAAAGCCAAAGTGCCAGCAAAAATAGACAAATAAGGATTAGTCTGAGCTGCGAATCATGCAAAGTTGCTCTAGCAGCATCCGAGAATGAAAACAGTGAGTGATAAGCACATCGGGTTCACTGCGTCAGTCTGAGAGGCTTTTCTTCTTCTTTATTTCAGCCGCCTGCAGCAGAAACTGCTGCCG